CACCCAAAACTTAGATGTGAACCGTGGATCACGATTCGAGACAATACTCACCGGGACACCATGGTACTTCACTACCTTCGAGATGAACAATTCCACTAAACGACTCAAAGAATACTTCTCTCTCACTGGAATAAAATGTGCGGACTTAGTGAGTCGATCAACGATCACCCAAATGCCATCAAAACCGTTATGTGTACGCGGGAGCTTGTACACGAAATCCATGGTGATATTTTCCCATTTCCACTCGGGAATGGGAAGCGGTTGCAACAACCCAAACGGCTTCTTCCTTTCTGCCTTAACCTGCTGACAAATGGCACACCTACTCACATACTCGGCTATCTCCCTCTTCATACCCGGCCAATAATAAAATGGTCGAATGGTATGATACATTTTAGTAGCCCCTGGATGCATGGCGTAAGTCGAGATATGTGCTTCATCCAGAATTTCCCCTTCAAATCCACAATATTTGGCACGAACATTCTTCCCTCTTGCATCAACATGCCACCCGATTCACGTACTCTGAGGTCTCTCCTCCTACCTTGTTCTCGAGCTTGGATTAATTCTTAAGTCTGCTCATCAGCTGCTTGAGCTGCAAGCACCCTATCAACTAAGATGGGCCTAACTTGAAAATTAGCAAGTAAAGCCACATCTCGATCTTCTGCTTCTAACCTCACTCCCGTAGCACGCAAGTCCACCAAAAGAGGAATACGGCTTGCATACAACGCATTAATGCGGCCCTGAGACTTCCGACTTAGTGCATCAGCAACTACATTCGCACGACCAGGGTGATAATCAATCGTGCAGTCATAATCACTGAGCAACTCCATCCACCTCCGTTGACGAAGATTAAGTTCCTTCTGAGTAAAAAGATATTGGAGACTCTTATGATCAGTAAAGATCCTACACTTCTCTCTGTACAGGTAATGTCTCCACAACTTCAATGCAAAAATGATAGCAGCCAACTCCAAATCATGGGTAGGGTAATTCAACTCATGGGGTTTTAACTGACGCGAAGCATAAGCAATCACCCTACCATGCTGCATCAATACACATCCCAGACCATTCAAGGAAGCGTCGCTATAAACCTCGAAATCACCACTATCGTCCGGGAGTGCCAGAACAGGTGCTTGAGTGAGATAATGCTTCAACTGCTGGAAACTCTGTTCACACCTATCATCCCACTCAAATTTAACATCTTTCCTCGTTAGTCTCGTCAATGGTAAGGCAATCACCGAGAAATCCTTAACAAATCTCCGATAATACCCCGCCAAACCAAGGAAACTCCTCACCTCGGTGACGGTTCGCGGTTGCTCCCAATTCTCCACCGCCGCAACCTTCTGAGGGTCAACCAGAATACCCTGAGCAGAAATAACGTGCCCCAGAAACGCTACTTGGTTTAGCCAAAACTGGCACTTGCTAAACTTAGCATATAATTGATGTTCTCTCAACCTTTTCAGCACCAAAGTAAGATGTCGAACATGCTCCGCCTTCAACTTAGAATACACCAAAATATCGTCAATAAAAACAATGACGAACCTATCCAAGTAAGGCTGGAACACCCGATTCATTAAATCCATAAAAGCTGCTGGTGCATTCGTCAACCCAAATGGCATAACCAGAAACTCGTAATGACCATAACGAGTCCTGAACGCCGTCTTAGGAACGTCATCCCGATTAATCTTCAGCTGATAGTACCCAGACCTCAAATCAATCTTAGAGAACACACAAGCACCTCTAAGCTAATCGAACAAATCATCGATACGTGGCAACGGATAACGGTTTTTAATCGTCACCCGATTCAATTGCCTGTAATCGATACACAGCCTCAAAGTTCCGTCTTTCTTCCTCACAAATAATACTGGAGCGCCCCAAGGTGAAGTACTAGGCTGAATAAAACCCTTATCCACTAATTCCTGCAGCTGCACCTTCAATTCCCTTAATTCAGCAGGTGCCATACGATAAGGAGTCAAAGAAATAGGATTAGTACCTGGAAGCAACTCGATAGTGAACTCCAAATCTCGATCAGGTGGTAAACCAGGCAAATCCTCGGGAAAAACATCTGGAAAGTGTCGGACTACCCTCACATCCTCAACACTACTAGGAGGAGCCTCATCTAACACCACATGGGCTAAATACCCCTGACAACCTTTAGTCAACAACTTTTTCGCCCGTAACGCCGAAATAACACCATGTCTCACCCCACTCTGCTCACCCACGAAAGTAACCACGGGTAGTCCAAGACGACGAAATGTAACTATTTTCCCGTAACAATCAATATTGGCACGATTGGGGTGCAACCAATCCGCGCCCAAAATCACATCGAAATCAACAATATCTAACGGGATAAGATCAGCTGGCATAACCACACCCTCAACTATCACTGGACACCCCGGGTACACACGATCTACAATACATCTCTCTCCTCTAGGCATAGCGAACTCTAAATCGAACCCTAGAGGTGTGGGGCGAGGTTGCGTCACTTGAGCAAATGTATGAGAAATCACAGAATGTGTAGCTCCGCAATCAATTAAGACTCTAGCAAAATAACCAAGAATATTTAACGTACCCATGATCAGATCCGGGTTGTTCTGAGCATCCTGTAGAGAAATGTTGTGAATACGCCCCTGGCCTTGCTGCCGTCCGCCACGACCTCTACTCGCCTGAGCACCACGACCCTGTGTACCACGCCCCTGACTGGGCAGACCAGTCTGTCTCGAAGACCCTGCACTGCTAGTAGCAATCTCTCCTGGCTGAAACTGTCCTCCCTGATACCATTGAGAACCACCGGCTGGAGCTGGAGGATACGACATATAGCTGCCCGAATACTGAGGGTAACCACCCTGGGAGTAGGGGTCCTGAGGATACTGATACTGTCCCGAGGCATAGGGAACAGCATCACCCTGGTAGTGGTAGGCACCACCCCGACCGGCCTGTCCATAACCACTAGGACCTTGAATCTGCTGGATAGGGGCAGGTGGTGGCAGGAAAGTCTGCTGCGGTCTCTGCTGCTGACTCTGGGGACATTGCGCGGCTCGATGCCCCATCTGCCCGCAAGTGAAACAACCACTACTGCCCCGCCTACACTCGCCAGTGTGCCGATTATTACACCTTCGGCAAAGTGGGGCCCTACCCCGACCACCATCCCCCTGTCTCTGGCCTCGAGCGCCACCAGTAAATCTACCTCCTCGTCCCTGACCAGTGGCACTGAAACCACCACTAGAAGAGCTAGAGCTATTACCACCCCTCTTGAAGTTTTGAGTCTGACGAGGCCCGAGCGACGCTTGACCTTTACCTTTGTCATCCTTCTTCTGATTACCATTCTTCACATCGTCATCACTCTCGCTCGTCATATTCTCAGAGTCCTCAACCCTCAGCAAAACCTCATAGAACTCCTGATAAGTATCACAATGAGTGGAGGTCGACATCGAACGCCACTTCTTCTTAGTGCCGATGCGAAAACGACGAAGCATCTCCGCTGGGTTACTAGCAATCTCAGGGTGGTAGCGAGATAAGTCGGTGAACTTCCGATAGTACTCGTTCGCAGACATCTTTCGCTGTTTCAACTCAGTGAATTCCTGTTTCTTGCGATCGATGTACTCTGGGGGCACAAATCTCCTCTTAAATAGCCTAATGAAAACATTCCAGTCAGTCTTCTCGACTCGAGTCAAACTACGAAGCTCCTGCTCCCACCAGGATGTAGACTCCGTACCCAGAAACCATGAGGTCGTCTCGACCCACCTCTCAACAGGAAGATTCCCCTGATTGTTCAACACTCGGAAAGTCTTCTCAATATGCTCTAACCAACGCTCCGCGCCCTCGTGCCCCTCATGACCGTGGAACTTATCCAATTTCAGATTGTACATAGTCTCCAGAGGAGTCCTCTGGGGAGGGCGGATAGCTGCTTGGATAGCGGTAGCAATAGCTTCCCCCAGCTGAGTGATATCGGGGAAACTAGACTCATCTGAACGACGTGGTTCCCGACGAGGCGGCATAATTCTGACAGAAGGCACCAAAACCATTAGAATACTCACAAAAGACACAGGACTGCCAAACCTAAGCTCTGATACCAAATTGTCACACCCCAACCGAGGCCAGGGCATGCAGGCCGTCACGTGGAAGTGACGTAGCCATGTGCACAGTGCGGAAGCTAAAAACAGTAATATAAAAGTACGAATAATTTAAAACTAGCAAATATAATGTGATAAAGTATGTGCTAGCTAAAGTAAGACGCTGAATTCAGAGCTTTAAGCCTACAGCAGTCCAAAAGAAACGATACAACAAAAGTGCACCCGAAGGTGACCCTACGTAGGTGAGTGTCTGTCAGAATGCCGGGACGTCCTCCGGGAAAAACCACCAAACCCGCTAAGCTACTAGAACCTGGAGGGGCGCAAAACAAAAGCGTGAGTGGGCAAAAACAAATTCTTTGAAAACCAATTCATAAAATACATTATAACCCCTCGCCGTAAAACCTGTATACTTCCCAGAAAAATAAACACATATACGTAGATGTACCAAATCATGCTCAAGGTATGCCATCACAAAACTTCATAATATCATGCATGTGCTCAGGTATAAATCACATCAATAGCATAATAAACTGACAGCCGGAGTCCCCTAAGTGACCTGTACGGCTGAATCTAGAGCTCAAATCTCAAACTTAATAACTAAACCTGCCCACGAGTCGGAACCACCTATAGTGGTCTGTACGACAGGCCTGGGTGTAATACATATTAACGCTCTAGTGCTACGATCACGTGAAGGCTGTGCGAATAATCGCGGGTCACCTACGAGTCGGAACCACCTAAAGTGGTCTGTACGACAAGACTGTGCACCTAACTTGGATTCAAGCTGAGCGTGTGGTGCGGAAGGTGAACAACACGTGAAGGACTGTGCCCTACTCTGGGCGGGAGCACTAACACCGGGGGTGCAGGTTATGAGCTCTCTAAGCATTTCTAACCGCTATTTAATGCAATCGATAAATAACGCTTACCTGGCACTTACCTATGCCTCCACAGCACCAACATATAAATATATATGACATTTGCATAAATGAGTATGTAATTAAACGTATATGCCACTAATCATGCATAACCATCAATCATATAAAAGAATGGCATAAAACGAAGCATTTATACTTATTCTGGGAATTTATATGTATATAGGTATATACGGAAAACAAAAGCCCACTCACTGGTATGTGGAAGGGTCGTAGCCCCCCTGCCTCGAGTGTGCACGCTCGTCCTCGGGATACGTGTCACCTATATGCGAATTAACTATAAAAACGTTAACTTTAAAGCACATAACCGTCCGTTCAAAATAACTTCTCATACATTGCTCAAAATAGACAAATGAATATACCAACGTGATCTACACAACCTCACGATCATACCCATAATTTTAAAATAATTTTTGGACTTCCCACGCGCCCTCACGCGCCAAGACAGGCACGGACCCACGCGCCCCCACGCGCGGCCACGTGCCATGCACACTGACGGCGTCAAGTGACGCCGTCAGGAATATTCCCTTAACCCAACGGAATATTCCGTTAAACCTAACTGACGCCGTCAACGTCCGTTAGGAATATTCCGTTAAACCTTAACGGAATATTCTCCCTTCTTCTCCGGCCAGACCCCCTCGCCGGCGCCGTCGCCGTCGTCGGAAAACCTGCAACTTAGGTTTTCTCGCTCGTTTTTCAACCGTTTTTCAAGATTCTTGAACCAAAATGACGCTTAGACCTAGGAGAATCACGATAGACTAGTTTTAAGGGCTAAAAACTATGCAATCATACCTGTCCACGAAATCAAAAACCGGCCAACTTCGTACAGGACGATCCCGACATCCAAATTAGCCCAACGAGCTACTCCCAAGCTCCTGGGAACCTCACAAAGACATCTACGAGCCTAAAAAGTCCAAAAACCAGCTAGATTAAACTTGCATGAATAGTAACCAAAACCGAGCTCGTGAAATCGACGTGAAAACGTCAGAGTTCCTACCTGAAAATGGTACCACTGGACTCCCCTCGGCCTCACGAGTTCGATGGTGCAGTTGGTTCCCTCGATCTGTGCTGGTTTGGGTGAGTTTGGTGTTTGTCCGTACGTTTATGGTGATAGGAAGGGAGAGAGAGACACGGGAGAGAGAGAGGAAGTGACAGAGGGTGAGGGATAGAGATAGGATGTGTGTGTGTGGTCCAACTTTGGCCAACACCACACAAAACAACCAAAAACATAATAAAACAAACTAGGGGTAAAATGGTCATTTCACCTATGCGTTCGATAGTTTCGGGACGGGGTGTCACAGTATTGATCAGGAAGGACAAAAACTTAACATTTTTTTTGTTGATGTGTATTCTTTTGTTTTGATTAAGAGATATATCTCTGTTTATCAATGTTATCGCTATGGGGTAATTGGTTTGCTGTATAAATTCTTGAAACTGTAGTTCCTTCTGTCTTTGTCCTGTTAAAACTAAGGAAAACTAATGAAAATGGTTTGAAAAATTTGAGTTTTAATGATAAGGACAAAATAAAGGGTAAAGTGAATAGTATCAAGATTGACTTTTTAGTATAAAAATATGGTTTTTCGTTAAAGTGAACAGTATCGTGGGATTTTCGTTAAAATTCCCTTAAAACTATACATTGTGATTGCAGGTTTTTAAAAACTTGACCTTCGCAGATTGTTCAAAAAGAAAGCAATTCTGCTATTGATCAGTATAAAGACGCAACAACAAAGTTAGAAATAAAATGTCTCACATGATATATTTTGGTTTGGGTTTGTAATGTGTGATTTCCAATGTGGATTAATTACCTAAGTGATTTTGGATTATGATCATTGCATGTTTTTTCGTTTCGTTATTCTTTATTTTGCCAGCATTTTCTACAAATCTGTTTTATTGTGTTGGTGTGAAACTGTTTACATTATCAGACTGTTTTAATTGCTTTACTACTGTTTTTTTATTTTTATTTTTATTTATATATATTTATTATGTAGGAGTTATATGGACTTGGGGGACAAGAATTATAAATGCAATTATTGTGTGCTTATTGTTAGTTAAAAGAATCAAACAAACAATGAACCTATAATAAGTGAGGGATAACTCACTTCGACCCTGCCTCTATTATTTGTCTTGCATATTCTCATCTCAAAAGCATAAATTCACATAATTATCAGATTAAAGGTTAAGATGAAGAATTCCACTTTACTCAGAACCCGACAATTGTTTCTTCCACGACCCCCAACTTTAAAAGTCTTTGTTTGAATTGTCTATCTAACTTTTGATTTTGAGAAAAGATTCCTGCTTAAATGATAATCATTGTTCAAAAAGTGAGTGAGATTTTAAATGTCTTTGCGTGAAATGTCTATCAAACTTTTGATTTTGAGAAGATTCCTGCTTAAAAGATAATAATTGTTCAAAATATAAGTGTGAGATGACTCACCTCTACCCTACCATTATTATTTGTCTAGCCACCCCATATTCTTCATGGTTCATTGGTTTTCTTTTGTCAATATTTAACGTTTAAATTCGACTTTCGGTAACATTTCTTTTCAGGGGAATTGACTGTTACCGGTATAGATAATCATTATCTTCTTTTGGCTTGGTCTCAATACATGATCAATTGTTTGCCTGACCATTAACAAATTTAGATAGGAATACAAAAGTATTAGTAAAATTGTCTCTACTGCAGATATACCCTCTTCACATGCCTTAATTAGCCAAAGTACACCTTAATGATACAGAAATGGTTAAATCTATCCATGTACTATTTCCATCACTCATTACCCGGATTTAACAATTTTTCTAATTGTAAGATGTTTTTTGGATCAATCAAAGCATATGGACAAGGTGTATCTTTGGTTGGAGCATTTGTATCCGTACTTTTAGATATCCATCTTAAACTTCTCAATAAACAGTTGAATACTTGATTATGTATATAGAGCAAGCCAAAAGAAGAAAGTTTTTATCTATATATTGGTAACAACGAATTCCTCTGAAGAAAAAAGATGAAAATGATGACATCTGAAATGCTTGATCAAATTACTTCTCTATATTTTGCAGAGAAACCAAACCAAAGATATCTGATCCATCTTAGCACGTATAATATCACACTTTAATCAAGTGCCGTAAGCATGACTTAATTACATGTGATCAAGTTGCAAAGTCTTTGATAATTCAACAATTCAAATCGAATATAATAATTTTCTCCACAAAAAAGTCGAATAATACTTTGCTACTCAAAAGATGAGTAGGAGTTCATACTCAAAACTGTTCGTTGTTGATTTATAGGACTTCATGCTTATAATAATAATTGTCATATTATAAATCATTCTATAAAATCACGTTTGCGAAAAGAAAAAAAAAATCAATTAAAATTAAGATCGTTTAGTCATCGAACTGTATAAGAACAAATGAACGGAATTGGTAAAAGTATTACGAACCGTTTATGTATTTGATACAATAGTTGACTAAACGATCTTAATTTTAATTTTTCTTTTCTTTTCTTTTTGCAGACTTTATAGTGATTCATAATATAAACGGTTCTGATTATAAGCACAAAGTGCTGCATTCGAACACAAAAAAATTTTGAGTAGGAGTTCCTACTCATCGCTAGCATTATTTCAATTTCTAGAGGTCCATTTAAACTTGATTATATCCTATCTTCCTATAGCACTCATCACGTCGTTATCTTCACCTCCAATTTTTTCTGCCAAATTCTATGCTAAAGTCCAAACAGCTTATACTAAATTACTAGTACTTTCATGGTTGCTCCTTTTAAGTAGAATGGTCAAACAAATAGTTAGACTTGCACTAAATAGACTCTAGATATATGAACTCTAAGATGGTCACATTTTAATACTAGTATTTTAAGCATACCTTAGCTGCAAAGTCTTTGTTTAATCAACAGTTAATCATATCATTTGAATACCATATGCTATTGCTGGTCTCTATCAACCTGCAGATCATGACTTTATTCAGCCGGCTTGCGTCTACGATCAGCAAGGAAGTTTCCGACGTGTAATCAACGGTTAACCAGATGAAAACTAGTAGCCGGAACTTCACTGTCAAAACTGAAAAGTTATCAAAATAAATCATCAAATTGTTTCCTGCCATTCGCCTAATTCTGTGTTCACTGTGAGCCCTTTCTAGAAAATGGATAAAGATAAACTTCTTGTAATGCTTTTTGCAATTATTCTGCTGTTGATGCCAGCTGCCCTTTCTGCTACAGATCCCCTTATAAGTTTTTGTTCAGGTGGTGACAGAGATAGCCAATTTGAAACCAATCTCGAGCGGCTACTTGAGTCATTATCTTCCCACACTTCCCCCGCAGGAGGTTTCTACAACGATACGGTAGGAGATGGACTTGACATAGTTTATGGACAAGCACTTTGTAGATGGGATGTCAACTCCACAGTTTGCCAAAACTGTGTCAATGAAGCAAGGCAGGAAATCTTCCAGAGTTGCAAAACAACAGATGCAATGATTTGGTACGAGCTATGTCAAGTTCGATATTCTTACCAGATGTTCTTTCAACTAATGGTTTACACTGGAAAGTATCCGGACAAGAACAATCAGGAGAAGAACGTATCAAATCCACATCATTTCAATGATATATTGAACTGTTTAATGATAAACCTCTCTGAAGCAGCCGCGTTTAGTCCCTCCAAGAATATGTTTGCAACTGGGAATATTAAATTTTCAGGAAAGGATACAATTTATGGCTTACAGCAGTGCACTAGAGACATTTCTGCAAGTGACTGCCATAGCTGTTTAAATTCTGCTCGCACAGATCTCTTGGGATGTTGCTCTTCTCGACAAGGGGGAACTGTCGTTAGTAGGAATTGCAATGTGAGGTTTGAGCTGTTCCCCTTTTTTAACTATACGTCAAATTCTTTGGTAATCTATCCACATTCCAAAGGTTAGTGACTTGAAAGTTTTCTTATGTGAATTAATCACCTGTGCATGCACATTTTTCATGGTAAATTGTAGCTCAAGGAAGTTCGTCCTATTAAAAAGCAGGGGACAGATTGAAGAATGGGAATGCAATTTTACTTGTTTCTGCATCCATAATACTGTTAGCAGCCATTGTCTTTTGTGCAGTCCGTCTCCGGCGCAAAAAGGGATCAGAGGATGTCAAAGGTACATATATCAAAACTAAAAACTTACACTGAATTTTGTAGGATTATCTTGTAAGTTTTACTTATGATTTTATTTTATTTTTTTTAAATTTTTTTTGCAGATGAAGAAAAAAACGAGCACGTACTATTACAAGATTTGGCAAGCCCCACTGGAATCACAATCTCAGAAGAAGGGATGTTCATAATTTCTGAAGAGCTGGCCTTCATGGATCTAGCTACTATAAAGATAGCTACGAATGACTTTTCGGATTTAAACAAGCTTGGACAAGGTGGGTTTGGTACTGTTTACAAGGTAATGATATTATGTATTATGGTTCTAAGTAGGCTTAATTATACAATAGTATTGATTCAATTATAGGCTGAAAAATGTATGTCATCTGATTTTGTCAATATTCTTTCAGGGTTTGCTACCAGATGGGAAAGAAGTTGCCGTCAAAAGACTGTCGAAGAAGTCATGGCAAGGCTTAGAGGAGTTCAAAAATGAGGTGGCAACCATTGCAAAACTTCAACACAAAAACCTGGTGCGGCTTTTGGCGTGCAGCTTTGAGGGAGAGGAAAAGCTGCTTTTGTACGAGTTCATGCCAAATAAAAGCCTTGATGTTTTTATCTTTGGTTTGTTCATCTTACTCTTCTGCTATAATGTTTCTTTACTTTTACATTTATACATCATACGGACACTTCACATGATAAATTGTACTAAATTTTCAGATTTGGAAAGACGAGCTGAACTCAATTGGAAAATTTATTACAACATTATTGAAGGCATTGCTAGAGGGCTTCTGTATCTTCACGAGGACTCGCGGCTTAAAATCATTCACAGGGATTTAAAGCCTAGCAATGTACTGTTGGACTATGAAATGGTTGCCACAATATCAGACTTTGGCATGGCAAGGATATTTTGTGAGAGCCAGAACACAGCTAACACTAAAAGAGTTGTAGGAACACTGTGAGTTTGCTTCTTACAGCTCCCATATTTATCTTTAGAATATGCTAATGCTTATACTCGATTCTTGAAACAGCGGTTATATGGCTCCAGAGTACGCAATGGAGGGTCTATTCTCAGTCAAATCTGATGTCTTCAGCTTTGGTGTAATCTTGCTAGAGATTATTAGTGGGAAAAGGAATAGTGGGTTCTATCTCACAGAACATGCCAAGACACTCCTTGCATATGTATGTCTCTTTGTCCACTTTGATTACTTAGCTTAATTTCTGTGAAATTAAAATATTTTGCGGCTTAAATAATTGATAGGCATGGAGGCTATGGAAGGACGGAAAACAGTTGGAATTTATTGAGCCTTCGTTGATGGAAACATGCCCAACAGCTGAGGTTTTGAAGTGCATGCATATTGGTCTTTTGTGTGTCCAGGAAGACCCTGCGGAGAGACCTACAATGTCAACTGTGGTTGTATTGCTGGGAAGTGAATCGATAGATCTTCCTGAACCAAAGCAACCGGCAATATTTGCTGTACGAAGAGTTGCCCCAATCAGTGAGTCTACAACTGATCCTCCTTCAAATGGGCTCACTCTTTCCATCATTTCGCCGAGGTGAACTAGCTCTGACTGGAATTCCATTTTGCTTCCTCGAGGCTGGTTCGGGTACTGCTTGAGGGGGCTCAAAAGTGGTTTGATCCTAGCTCTCGAATGGCTATGTATATTGCTGAAATAAAAACAAAAACTTAATAACCCCCAGTGAGTTAGGATCCTCTGGATCATCAAGGAATTCAGAAAACGTACCTTGTGTATTAATTCTTCTTTGCTCTCTTCGTTTACCTTGTGCCATATTATTTTAAAAAGAAGGCTATTTGTCCAACTTCCCAAGCAATTTTAACATAGAAGGTAGAATGTGTCATGTTATAGTGTTTTATGTATTCAAATTCACGCCAACCAAAAAACAAGACGATGCATTCTCATCCCCCTTAGAAAAAAACACAAGATTCGTTTTCCTTTCAGTTTCATCACGTGAACCAAATGAGGCCTTAGGTTAACGAACCTAACTGGGTTTCTCTTGTCGTTGAAGATAGTTATAGTCAGGACCTGTAGAAACCAAAAAAAAAAAAAAAAAACGTTTCATTTAATTCGAAGATGAATGAAATGAAAAAGTGCCAAAAGAAAAGTTGAGGGTGTGAGTAATGTGATGTATAAGAGTATGCTACGTCTAGAATTCGAAACTCTCCAATAAAAAAAAAAAAAAACAAAAAAGTGCAATAGGATAAAGTTTTAAAGCTTTTGGCCGTGAGAGAGTGCATTCGTTCGTTTCAAAGCCAAAGACAAGTCAATTCGATACTTTCAATGTAATGTTCTGGACTCATACGGTAAAAAGAACTGTTGAGTTCATAAAAAATGTTTATACAGCTTTGAGCTTTGTTGGTTTTTTTTTTTCATTAAGATGAAGGTCCTCGCATCATTGACCTCAAACCTATGATATGATATGATGATCCCAAGGACCAAATATCTCGAGCAAGTTCTTATGGGTCAATATATATTCTGTATCAAGTGAATTAGATTTAAACAGAGAATGCTGATGATGATTATGGAAGAATACTTAGAAAACTTGAGGAAGAAGAAGAAGCAAAATTCCGATCAAAATCACAGAGAATATGCCTCTGCAAATTCTTCCATGTATTTTGGGGCACTCACTGAACATATGAGCTCATACAAAACAACAATATAACCGTTGGGAGTGAGAGAGAGAGGTACAACTCTAGATTCAATCTTAGTCATCCATTCTACACTGCACTGACATTAGAACACTTGTCACATATCAAACCCCGTGAGACTTAACTAACACATTACATTTTGATCACATAAGCTCAGCCTATGAGCTGAACCATTACACTAATCAAAACTTGTAATCTTCTTCATATCAGTTCATCAATTTGTACATCAACACTCCCCCTAAATTGTGAACTGATTTCACTCCCAATAGCTCTCTGAGATGACAGAATTGATCTTTGGCAAAAGCATTTGTGAATATATCTGCTACCTGTTCTTTGGTTGAGCAGTACACCAAGTCAATGATCTCATTCTGCAAAGCCTCCTTGATAAAATGATATCTCCTGTTGATGTGTTTAGTCTTCCGGTGAAAAATAGGGTTCTTAGTGATTGCAATGGCAGAAGTGCTATCACAGTTTAGTGGAGTCGCAATGTCGAGTTAAAAATTTGATCATCACCCAATTTTGGTTGATTGCCAATAGCGACCGAAATTCCAATGACAGCTCCAGAACCAATACGAGCATGCTCGGCAACAACGGATTTTGAATGAACAACAGCACCAAACTCTATGAAAACTGTTGGGTCGATGCAGGCAGACTTGTGGAAAGACCCACCTCCGTTATGCCATTGTTGGAATTCTGGATGAACGGTCGGAGCACCGTCCTCTAATCATGAAATACAGAGCAGGTGCAGAAATGGTTAGTGACAACTGACAAAACAGATGTTGTCTCAGAGACATTTTCACAAGCACGTTCAGGGCATGCCAGACGAAACAGACGACACAGAGGAACTATAACTATTTCCAAAGCGCAATGGAAACAAGCTTTGAGCGCATTGAAGATGTGGCGAGTAGCCGAATGCCGCTGCAAGGCTTCTCAGAGCGACTGCCATTGACTGAGGTTCGAAGAGGGAAAGCCCGTTTGTATTTGAACCTGCGTATCCAGTATCCACCGTGTTTGACCGGAAGGGCTTTTGTAATGGAGGGTATCTTCGTCTCCTAATTTTACGTTGGGCGAACATACATAGGTGTTGAGCTTTGGGCTTGAAAGTCCAAGCCTATAGATTATTGAGAACATGTGCAGGTTGGATTGGAAATTTCGATTTTGATCAGTTCTCACCAAGTTGGCAACGAAAATTTTCAATTTTGGTGCACCCGAATGGAATTTGACATTCAAAATTCTGAAATAATATGGATCGTAACTGGGATGTACAACTAAAAACTTTAATAATCTCAATATATTTTATACGAACGTATTAAGGTTTTAAATTATTTACGCTGATTAACTTCATGATAAAATAAATACGATCTAATAACCATATAGGGTATATTGTAAAAAAAAATTCAAAATGTTGGGCATATTTGTCACATCCCCGTCCGGGGAGGATTACTTCCCGACCCCGCTCCACCACCGTAGCACGATATTGTCCACTTTGGGCCCCCCAGCACACCCTCACGGTTTTGTTTTTGGGAACTCACACGAGAATTTCCCAATGGGTCACCCATCCTAGGAATGCTCTCGCGCGCTACTTGCTTAACTTCGGAGTTCCCATGGAACCCGAAGCCAGTGAGCTCCCAAAAGGCCTTGTGCTAGATAGGGATGAGAATATACGTATAAGGATCACTCTCATGGACGATGTGGGATGTCACAATATTCAAGAGCCGAACTATTTTTGAAACGTAAGTTACCAACTTTTCTGAATATTTTATTGTTTTTTATTTATTATCATTATTTATTTATGGGAGTTTTAACGAAAAACCCGCGGTACTGTTCACTTTAACAAAAAACCATATTTTTACACTAAAAATTCAAATATGGTACTATTCATTTTACCCTTTATTTTGTCCTTATCGTTAAAACTCAAAGTTTTCAAACTCTTTTCATTAGTTTTTCTTTTATTTATTATTATTTTTACGACAGAATTGAATGAAAATGAAACTCGTAATTTCAATTAGATTTTTCTGAAAATCAGGCATGCATACATGGAGAGTAGGCTAGGCAATGAAGTTTAATTCTTGTTGTGTGACCTATTGGACATGCTAATCTCGCATGTATATATAAAAATAAATAAACCACAGAAAACATGTGTGACTATTATATTATTTGATGGTTTGTGGAAGTCTCTGTCATTATCTATTAGTTTTGAGATAATATATCTTTCAACTTGTGGCGTGGCATTGACTGAATTACAACTATACCTGGCATTTTGGACCCGATTCGTTAATATTAGTATTTGGGTGGATGCTTAACGGGTGGGGTTGCTAAGGGGTGAACCCGTTAAATAACGGATCATTTTGGGTCAATCCGTTAGCATTCATTAATTGAGGATGTTTTAGTAATTTCAGTAAAATCTTAACAACAAAAAATTAACTATGCAAAAAAAAAAAAATAATAATAATAGTTGTTAACGGGTGAAACGGATGACCCGTTAGCTTAACAGGTCGGATTCGGGTGACCCGTTAACCTTAACAGGTTGGGTTCAAGTGACCCGTTAACCTAATAGGTCGGATTGAACCCGACCCGTTTACAGGTTTAATTACAACCATGACCAACCGTGAACAATTTCCAGGAAAATACAACCAATCGAAGGCTTTGTTTTCTTAGAATTTTTACTGATGTGATGTTAACTAATATAAGAGAGTTTTAACGAAAAACCTATAGTACTATTCACTTTAACGAGAAACCATATTTTTACACTAAAAAATCAATCATGTTACTATTCACTTTACTCTTTATTTTGTTCTTATGTTAAAACTAAAAGTTTTCAAATCATTTTCATTAGTTTTCCTCTAATTTAAGTCAACAAGTCTTCCAAGAAACTACCTATCGATTCACAAAAATTCAATGGTGCTCGTACTCCGAGATTTTTAACCATATTTCGAGCAGGAAGGAGAAGACTTAAGAGCTATATATAAAAGTTTCCCTGATCTTTATCTATGATTAGAGATCAAAACATGGCTAATTTCCCTAAATTTACGTTGGGTCAACAAACATTGTTTGAACCTGCGTATCCAGTATCCACCGTGTTTGACCGGAAGGGCTTTTGGAATGTAGGGCATTTTCGTCTCCTAAATTCACGTTGGGTCAACAAACATTGGTCTTGGGCTTGAAAGTCCAAGCCAATAGATTATTGAGAACAGGCGCAAGTTGGATTGGATATTTCGATTTTTATCACTTCTGACCAAGATGGTAAAGAAAACTTTCAATTTTGGTGAACCCAAAGGAAATTTGACCTTCAAAATTCTGAAATAATATGGATCGAAACTGGGATGTACATCTAAAAATTTTAATAATCTCAATATACTTTATAAGAACGTATTAAGGTTTCAAATTATTTACGCTGATTAACTTCATAATAAAATAAATACGATCTAATAACCACAAAGAATATAGGGTAAAGTACAAAAAACTACCTCAACTATTGGTGTCACGACACTTTCATACCTCATCTTTAGAATTTGGTTCAATGTTATACCTTCCGTTGCTTAGCCGTTTACTTTTCATTTAAATGCTGACGTGGCTTGATTCGAGATCTACTTTCTATTAAAAAATCATTAAAATATGATTAAAAACTAAAAAAAAAATATTTAATATATTAAAATAATAATAAAAAGTTAAAAAAAAAAAATCATCAGTTCGTCTCTCCCCTCCCCCTCCTCTCTCTTCTCCCCATCTTCATTTTCTTCCCCCCACCTGCAAACCCAAAAAAAAAAAAAAAAAAAAAAAATTGAAAACCCAACAACCCCCCTCCAGAAGAACAAGAAGGAGAAGGAGAAGGAGGAGGAGGAGGAGGAGGAGGAAGAAGAAGAAGAAGAGGAAAAAAAGGAGGAAGGAAAAAAAAAAAATTTCCTCCCCCCCCCCCCCCAAACCCACGTCGGTGCAGAAGAAGAAGAAGGGAGAAGGAGGAGGAAGAAGAAGAAGAGGAAGGAAAAAAAAAAAAAATTTGAAAACCCATCAACACCCCCTGCGGAAAAAGAACAAGGAGAAGGAGGAAGAAGAAGAAGAAGAAGAGGAAAAAAAGGAGGAAGGAAAATTTTTTTTTTTTTTTTTTGAAAACCATTAACTCCCCAGCGGAAGAAGAACAAGGAGAAGGAGGAAG